TATTGTTTTCTCTACACAGTTTCCTGCATTTATTTATTCATTATTTTTCCTAACTTAAAAGTTTTTAACATATAAATATATATATATATATATATCTCAATTGAATATATATATATCAATTGAACATTTCCCCCTCACTAATCTCAGATTGTGTTATTTTCAGACCCACCTTCCTTGTTCCTTCAGTTTCCTTTTTTCATTGTGTCCCCCCCCCCCCCAAAATGGTATTGTTGGCTTTACTCTATATACCTTTCTAAGCATGAGTCACAAGGCTGTGTATTTCCATTGTAGAACAGTCCTCTGTAGCCAGGGTCATTCCAGATCCAGTTTGTTTGATGTGTTAAGTACTCGTAGTGACCCAGCCTGAAGTATGCAGTAAAACTCATCGCCTATATTTTCTCCCTTTTCTCTCTAACTCCCTCAAAAACTCATCTTTGTCCCCCAACCCCCCCACCCCCCTTCATTGGTTTCTCTTTAACTGTCTGTTTTTTTTCCCTTTAAGAAAAACTTTTGGCAGAAGAGAACAATTTCAGATTCATTTGTGGGATTGCGTCATGTGATGTAGATGGAGCATGCACATTGGACTGTGGTGCAGGTCCTCCTCTAGTTTACACCCTCACACGCTCCATAGCAATCTCTCTCTTTCTTCCAGTACTGTTATAGGTCTGGATGTGATTCTGACTCTGACTCTTATGTGTTGGGATGTGGTCTGTAAGTTCATTGCTGACATTCTTGGGACGTGATGCCAGAGATTTTTATTTCCCGCTTTCCCCTCTCTCTTCTGTATATCTGGGTGCACTTAAAATGATCCCTTCTTGAAAACGCTGTCTGGGTCCTCCCTGTTACTTGCTTTGTTATATCCTGCCCTGTCCTCAATCACGGTTCATTTCAGCGTCCAGGCTCTAATGGCACCACTTAATTAGGTTTGTTAGATGGTGGGCATGGGTTGAGGGTGTGTTTTATAATCACTTGATATTGACTGAGATGAAAGTTAATCTAACATCTGGGCTGTGTTTCAAATCTTTTTTGCAGCTGAAGTGTTATTTATTTTTCTTCTGTAAGTAACAAGGGCACCTGACAATGGAAAACCAATGACCACTCTCCTGTTTGGTAATCACATACTTGTGATGCAGCTGGAAATTCAATGGCAAGAAGAACAGAGGGAAAAAAGTTATCGTATGAGTGATTTTGGACTCTTGCCATGGTCCACATTGGCACTTATCCCTGTATGAATATTTCACAGTAGCTCACACTCCCTGTAGATCCAGTAAGTGTAGCAGAAACACACAGTTACAGATACCTAGAATCACACAGGGGTACACAAAGTGGTGCATTACTATATTAATAATCCTTCATGTTTATTGTGTTACTGCATGTCATATACTAGCTCTTAAGATGTCTGCTCTCTGTGTTCCTCAGATTAACACGATCTGTATTCAAGACATCATATTTGCATTGATTGACATCAAATGTCAACCTGTTAGAAGGTGCAATTATAGAGGTGGTCATTTGGGACACAAGGATGTGTGTGGTGCAAACACTTTGCACTAATAAATGGGATGTGGTTGTTTGTGGTTGTTGCCATTTTCTGAAGAAATTATGCAGACTTTGGTGGGATATTCCTCCAAGTCCTCAGAGTTAAAATCCTGCCAGGTGTTCATTAATTAACATTTAATTAAATGATTTTCATGTGTTAAGGCAAATAAGGATACTCTGTTTTATTGCAAGATGTGATAAATTTTTTAAAATTAATTTATTTTATTTTTTTCGGGCACATTGATGCTAATTCAGACCAGACCACTCACA